GAAGGAAGGGAGGGAGGAAGGAAAGAAGGGAGGGAAGGAGGGAGGGAGGGAGGGAGGGAGGAAGCCTCGAGCCTTCTCAAGAGGGTACGGGGTGAGCAGAGACATGGCCAGGCTGCAGGGCACAGATGCTGGGCAGCCAGGTGCCCCAGGGCCTGGCCCTCGCAGAGGTGGGAGGGAGGCCACCTGAGGGCGGTGGGGGTGGAGACAGTGGGAGGAGGAGGGGAAGTGGAAAGGAAACTTCTCAGACCTGGAGTTGGGCTGCAAGGAGGCCTAGCTGAGCCCGTGAGACTGGTGGCCCTGAATGTAAGAACGATGGCCGGGCCTGCTCTCTCCAGAAGCCCAGCCAGGTGCAGGAGGGAAGCAGAGGCTGGTGTCAGCCTTGCGTGCAGGTGGCCAGGAGGAGGTCACCTGACTCCACGCTCCTGAGAGTCTACCAGCTCCCGCTCGGCACCTTCCTCCCTGCCCAGCTCACCTGCCCGCGTTCTTCACGAAGCCCAGGTCAGCCAGCTCCACTCCACACAGCTGGCAGCAGAAGCAGCCCGGGTGCCAGCTGCCGTTCATGGCCTTGATGACGCGGCCAATGATGAACTCGCCTGAAAGAGGAAGGTCCCTGCTGGCCAGGGCCAGGCCTTCCCCCCTCAGCCCAGCCCAAGCCCAGTCCACACAGGTCCTAGGGCCCCGTCCAGCCCCTGGGGAGGTAATGCCTGCAGGGGTCTGAAGGCCGGTGCTCAGAGAAACAGGGCTTGGTAGGCAGGGAGAGCTCCGGACCCTGGCCGCATGGGGACCTTGGCCACATGGGGACCCTGGCCGCACGGGGACCTTGGCCACATGGGGACCCTGGCCACACGGGGACCCTGGCCACACAGGGAACCTAGCCTCACGGAGACCCTGGCCACACGGGGACCCTGGCCGCACAGGGACCCTGGCCACATGGGGAACCTGGCCACACGAGGACCCTGGCCACACGGGGACCCTGGCCGCACAGGGACCCTGGCCACATGGGGAACCTGGCCACACGAGGACCCTGGCCACACGGGGACCCTGGCCACATGGGGAACCTGGCCGCACAGGGAACCTAGCCTCACGGAGACCCTGGCCGCACGGGGACCCTGGCCACACGGGGACCCTGGCCACACGGGGACCCTGGCCACACGGGGAACCTGGCCACACGGGGAACCTGGCAGCACGGGGACCCTGGCCACACGGGGACCCTGGCCACACGGGGACCCTGGCCACACGGGGACCCTGGCCACACGGGGACCCTGGCCACACGGGGACCCTGGCCACACGGGGAACCTGGCCACACGGGGACCCTGGCCACACGGGGACCCTGGCCACACGGGGACCCTGGCCACACGGGGACCCTGGCCACACGGGGACCCTGGCCACACGGGGACCCTGGCCACACGGGGACCCTGGCCACACGGGGACCCTGGCCACACGGGGACCCTGGCCACACGGGGACCCTGGCCACACGGGGACCCTGGCCACACGGGGACCCTGGCCACACGGGGACCCTGGCCACACGGGGACCCTGGCCACACGGGGACCCTGGCCACACGGGGACCCTGGCCACACGGGGAACCTGGCCACACGGGGACCCTGGCCACACGGGGACCCTGGCCACACGGGGACCCTGGCCACACGGGGACCCTGGCCACACGGGGACCCTGGCCACACGGGGACCCTGGCCACACGGGGACCCTGGCCACACGGGGACCCTGGCCACACGGGGACCCTGGCCACACGGGGACCCTGGCCACACGGGGACCCTGGCCACACGGGGACCCTGGCCACACGGGGACCCTGGCCACACGGGGACCCTGGCCACACGGGGACCCTGGCCCCCTGGCCGGTCGCCACCCTTACGTACCACAGGAGCCACAGCACGGAGCAAACAGCATCTGGAAGTCGTGTTCGCAGTACTTCCGGCCTTCAAACTGCAAATGGGCGCAGAGCCAGCGTCATCCCGTGTGCACGGCGGCTCTGTCTGGGCAGAGACTGCCTCAGGCAGACGCGCACCCACTCTGCTACCCTCCCGGGGGCACCACCCTCCCCAGAGAGGCTTCCTGCAGGGAGTGTGAACAGCGGAGGGACAGGTGGGGGCTGAGAGGAGGCTGCAGAGAGGGAGCAGCCTCGAGGCCTGGAGGCCGGGGTGCGGAGGGAGGCCTGGGCCTGCTGTCTGC